GAGGAGTTATTTGTTGAGTTTGGGTTGTTAATCTCACTAAAAAATCTTTCTCATAGTAGGTTATACCGAATTGTTTATTGGACCATTATCATGCGACTAGTTTTTTTTTTTTTTTAAGATGTAGGATTTGATTTAGTATTTTCAAATTTATAACTGCTGACCTACAAGCTATTGACAAGGCTCTACCCATTCCTGGAGGTCCTCATTATGCTAGTCGTCAGGGTTGTTGCTAGGGTGTCAATTTTTGACCCGACTCGAAACCCGACCCAGACCCAACCCAAAAAAATCCGGGTTTGGGTCAACCCGTTTGTGAAACGGGTCGGGTTCGGATTCAATAAACTGACCCGTTTCATAAATCGGGTTTGGGTTCGGGTTGACCCGAGAACCCAAAACTGACCCGTTCAAGTCGCGTTGCATCCTTTCGCCGTTTGCGAATCGCGATGCGAGTCACGTCGTGATGCATGCCAGGCTCCACGGCCGTGCCCCGTTGCCCGCTTCGCAGTTCGCGTGCCAGCGCGGGAAGGCCCACTTCGGCGCTTCGGCTTCGCCGCTCGAGTGCCAGCGGCCGCTTCGGGTTTAGTCGCAACGGCCGCTTCGGGTTCAGTTGCGACGCGTGTCGCCTGGTTTGCTTACGCCCTGCCGCTACGGGCCTGCTGTTGCCGCCCTGCTATGCTGCCGCTTCAATTTTAAATAACTGGGTCGGGTCGTGTCAACCCAGCAACCTGCGCGGGTCAGATCCGGGTTGAGATAGCCGACCCGTTTACAAAAAATGAGTCGGGTTCGGGTTGACCCATTTAGAACCGAGTCAACTCGGGTTCGACCCGAACCGAACCCGTCGATCCGAATTGACACCCCTAGTTGTTGCATCAAACCTCAATATTGCTGCTCTTTTCATGATAATGACTGATGTGACTACTCAGCTTACTCAAATGGTGTAAGTGTCACAACTCAACCCGATGTGACCCACAGGTAGATAGGTCATACCGTGTTGAATTGAGACAAACCAGCCCAAAATTTAGTTGGCGGGACTAATTAGATTTCTTCTATTACTTTATACAGGCCACAAAACTTCTAATTTACTTTAATAAACATAATAAAATAATCTCATCAATAAAATTTGTGTTTCATTTCATCAAAATATATATTCATATTTACCCTACAGTACATGGCTACATAGATCCATGAAAGGGAAGTAAAACAAATAGTCACAAATGTACAAAATCAGGGAAATACCTACACAAACCCATGCATATTAGATCCTGAACGCTCAGCTACTCAACTGACTCTTACCCTTTTCTAGGAAAATGAAGCAGAGAACAGAGTAGGTGTGAGCCAACACAGCTTACTACACCCATCGATTTAAATTCCAAACAATTTACTTATTTTTCATTTAATTGAATTTAAAAGCAGTTCATAAGAAATGTAATTGATTAAGCATAACTGATCATAATATTGATTGCAGATATTTATAATGATGTAGACTGTGTACTAAAAGTAAATAAATAAGTATTTCATATATCAGAGCATAAAATAACAAATTTCTCTCAAACCCTTTTCCTCCCATCAGGCATGGGCATTCATGACTCATGTGTTGACATATTAGAAAATAAACCCTCATACTCTCAATGCTCATAACATATCAGATATTTTGAATCACAGTGTGCATTTAACACTAGAATGTGCATATAATACTTGAACAGAACTTTCACCACATCTCAGATCTCCTTAAAATCACACAACTCAAGCAGATAAGCAATATATGATTGGATTGGAGTAAAAGAAATATAAAAAAACCAATTTCAAAATTTCACAGAATGCTTCACAATAGGCAACAAAACTATTTACTGAGCAAACTTTTCATAATTTCAAAAGTTATTTTCTAATTGGTCAGAGATCTCACATTTTTCAATTTATTCAGTGAAATTTTTTCAGAAAAATATCTAAATGTTCAAAATTATTGTATCTATAACATACAGAAAGTTATATTGTGAAAGTTTTGTCGGTATAAAATTATTCTTATTTTTTTCCTAACAGAATTATAATTTAAATAAAAACATTTAAAAATTTTCATATTTTTCAAAATATAGATAGACAGAATATAGCCTATCTTAAGCTGGATAATTTTTAGAACTGGAACAATAGAAAGTAGATCGGAGTTTCCCTAATGTGAGGGCTTATGAAGTGATTGGAAGTCAACAACAACCTCAGATAATTTATTCCTAATAGAATTATAATTTATAGCCTACCAAGCTTTCTCTCTCTAGAAATCTCCTCTCTCTCTCTAGCCAGTTGTTTTGAATGGGGAAAATGGATTTCATTTAGTGGTTTCTTTTTGAGGCTAAGAAGTTAGTTTGAGTTGATAAAAGATTATTATCTTGATATACCATATTGTCTTGAAAATATAAATGAGGCAGCATATGCATTGAGTATAAAGTCTAGTGAACATGCAAGTTATGCTAATTGAAGAAGAAAAATTAGTCAACAATATGACTGCCTTACAATTGGAGATTATAATATAGAATGACCAAGACTTAGATAGCTTATAACAGATGATTGTACACCTTACTTTGGAGGAGTGTGTAAAGGAGGCATATAAATCCAATGGTGAATGTTGGAGAAAATTTGTCATCCTCAACGAATTAAGTTTTTTTTTTATCGAACACGATATAGAAAATAATATATTATTCCGAAGGATAAAAATATCATTTCGCTATGGATTTAATAACAAAACTCATAAATTTAATTTTGACGAAGATTTTCCTCTATTTAATTTTAGTTGAATAAAGTTTTTTTTTGGTACAGATGCCCCATAAGGGCAAGTCATTGTGGTTAATTACATCTTAAGCATTTATTATTTGAGAATACTTTTCATTAAACAAATGATTTCTTTTTTGAGAGTCATCAAAATATTCGCTAATATTTTCATTTTTAAATTTATGAAATTCTTGTTCAAAGATTTGGTCTTTGAGAATTTTAAGTAAGATGCGATCAACTTTAAATTAAATTTTTGGAATGAAAGTTACAGGAGGAGAATGTAGGAGTACTTGATTCTGAGAAAATTTAGAGGTACTCAAACTATCCTATGTTGGGCTTTAAAATTATATTTTAAAATTAGATTTTTGTTCAAGTTGACTTTGATATAGAATATTGGGGCTTATATTTCATCTACATATGTTGAAGAAAATGCCCATAATCTGAGGGCTTATGAAGTGATTGGAAGTCAACAACAACCTCGGATCCTAGAGCTTAGGTGAGGACTACTGAATGGTAGTGTCTCAAACCTAAATTTAAAACCATGAACTCTGAAATTAACCTATCCCTATCCTAGCCTTTGCCGTCCACCCAAACTTCTCCCTCCTCCCTCACGTTTCTTCTCTCTTACTTGAATCATCATCTAAGAGAAATGACACGATTTTCCCCGGCCTCCGTACCCATGTATGGTCAATCCCGAGCAAGATCATGGATTTGTCTAAGATAATCAAGGACTAGTGGATGTTCTTCATTCCCCCTTCTTCGACATCAATTGGGAGATTGACCAATCCGCCGAAGACTATGTCGACCGGATCTTCTTCTCATTGACTATCGCTCTCGCGAACATCGACGTCCCTTCCAGTGGCAAATTCTCCATCATCCACCAACCTCCTCTTTCCCGGTTCACTTTTCCTTGAACAAAACTGTAAGCGCCTACTGTATTTTGGGAGCATCATTATTGTTGCGCAACTTATTCTTTCGCTAAAGCCCTCAAGAGTGTGAGTGAGGGAAACTCAAGGTGATTGCTCTAATTGTTAACCGGTGGATTTTTGTTACTTGCGCATCTAGCTTTACTATAATTTTGATGTTATTTTAATTGTCCTTCTAATCTATTTTGTAACCGCATGCCAAAGAAAAACAACAACTAAGAAATCCTAAAGTCTAATCTTGTGAAACATTAATTTTAAAATTAGCAAGCTTATTAAATTTTATTAAATTCATGCAATTCCTTTTTGTTTCACATCAGAAGTCCCCTGATTTGGTATAATCCCAATCCTTGAATACGCCCAAGTCCCATCCCCCTCTAGTCATCTGCTTCAAGCCATGGAGATCCCCTACATTGTGGGATTTTGCCAGGACGACATAGCTTGCTAGATTCAAGTTAAATGGAATTGTTTGATAGAATTTTCCTCATTTGTAAAGTAAATTGGGTTCAAATTGAACCACTTGGACTTGAATTAAGCCAGAATTGAGCTTGATTTAAGTCGATTTGAGTTCGATCAAGGTAATTTTATAAAATTGGACTTTAATCGGCACCGATTTGAGTTGAATTTGGAGGCTCAATTGAGTTGATCGGGTTCAATCGAACCTACACAAAAAAATTTGTCAACAATAGATGACTTGTATTTTATCAAAACTTTGTGGTGTTAGAATGGTTCATCAGTTAAACACTTGTATGTTAAACTTATTTTAGCCTAGGTTTGCCCAACCCATATAATTCCCAGTTCCACCGGATATGTTTATGTTTTCTATAAGTAGGTGGAAGCATCACTGATAACTTATAAATTGTTTGGGTAAGATTTTTGTTTCATGATCCTTTGAAAGATATGCCACTTTTTTTTGGTCCTGCCAAGCTTCTCTTTTCAGGGCTGGATCCAGATATCTTGCAAGTTTTTCAGAGCATCATTTGTTGAGCTTTTATTATCAGTTTGGAGACTTTGTACTATATCAAATCAAATTTTAATAAACTTGTTTTTTTACTTTTGAAATTGAAATACACGTTTAGCTGGAGCGTCAGAATGAGATTATAAATGTGATATCTTACTACTGTGTATCTATGCCGTGATCACAAATACATACTTCTTATATGTTCCCGAAGTTTATGTAAAACAAGTCGTAGGGATTCTTAAATAAATTACGATACTGAATATCTATTTTACTAGTCTTTTCTTGGTAACTGTTATTTAATTTGTTTGTGTACTTTTTGGAACTGCTTCTGTCATTTGAATCTGTTGACTCTTGATGAGCAGGTTGGAATTGCTTACCTAATGGCCCTGGAAAGTGCTAATAACTTGTGTGTGTCTCCCTCTGAAAATATTGAGTTGGATAAGTAAGTACCAATATAAATCTTAACTTCTATAGATAAGGATTGTACCCAAATACTGGTTGGGGTTTAGTTGTGCTCTTCAAGGGTAACATTGTATGTAATTGCCCCTTATGTGAATTAGAAACTGATTGTTTACGTGGGATGCTTTGTTCCTTGACATCCATTTTTCTGACTCCCAAATGGTTGGAGATGCATATTACTTCTGCAATACTTTGGAACTAACTGAACATAAATCTCATTTGAATGTTGCGATTTGGCATATTTTTAGATGCTGCTGTAGTTTTAATGAGGATCCCATCAGAATGCTTTTTAATCTTGCTACTGGATCAATTATTTTATCAATCAAATTTTGACGTCTTTGCAATTTTTTTATGAGCGGTGTTATGATTTTTTTGTACATGGTATATAGTATTGAGAAATAGATGAAAGATCAATGTTTGTTTGGAATATAATAGTTCATGCCAATTTTAAACGGTTTCAGATGCCTAACTTGTCATTATAGATATTGTGTACTTTATTTAAAATGTTTGTGAGGGAACTCAAAGGTGGGAAGACTATAACTAGCTCAAGTTTACATTGAACTTATGACACCTTTTTTGTATCTTTTTTCATATAACCAAGTTCCAGTTGATATAAGCCCAAAATCATACTAAACATACTAATGTTATGCAATGTATAATCATGCTTATCGTAAACTTACCTTAGCTTTTTTGAAGTCAGCATAATCGATTCTCATTCTCAAATTCTTTCCTATTAAGTCTTCCATAAGTTCTTAAATTCTGGTTAATATAAGTCTTTTGCACAATGTCTAGTCATGTTGCTTTTGGTTTTTTATCACTTATATATGAAATATAATTCAAAATTATGTATAATCATGCTTATCGTAAACTTACCTTAGCTTTTTTGAAGTCAGCATAATCGATTCTCATTCTCAAATTCTTTCCTATTAAGTCTTACATAAGTTCTTAAATTCTGGTTAATATAAGTCTTTTGCACAATGTCTAGTCATGTTGCTTTTGGTCTTCTCTTTTTTCTTGTTGGTTCTTTACATTATTTTTATCTTCTTACTTGATTGGTGCTTTTTTTTCCTCTCTAATGTATAACCCAAACCACAATTCCCCCTCCCAAAGGTAGTTTTGTCACAATTTTTCAAGTTTATAAAATTTGTCTTCTTCTCTCATTGCATAATACTCCTAAGGCCTTCTTTTAATTTAACCATCTAGCTTTAAGTAAAGACGTTTCTCCATCATCTCTATTTTTATTATTTTGTAGACTAAATTTAAGATTCTTAGACCCATCATATTTAGATATTAATTGATTCTAAAGTAATATTGATCAAAATTATGATTTTAATTTTTACATTCTCTAAAATTATATATCATGAACTCATCGATTTGACGTAAAAGCTTCGCCGGAAGATCGTCGCCGGAACACCCTCGCGGAAGCCTAGCCGACCGTCCGTCCGCTCCCTATTCCGCTCGGTTCTCGTTCGGTTCGTGCGAATGGGGAGGTGAGGGGGGCCGGTGTGCTATAATAGGGAGAAAGGGATTTTTTAAAAGTCTAATTTACCCTTACTTAAACAAATTTTGCCTATTATTAGTATAGGGGTAAAACCGGTATTTAGAGACTTCTAAGATTAATAACTCTCTAATTAGACAAAATTAGTTATAACTTCTATATACCAAAATGATCATAATTTCGCGTAGGATTTTCTAAAATTAATTTCGTTACATTCCGATAACCTTGAAAATCTCACCTAAACCTCGTCGCGGCGCTTTGAAAAGCGTGCGACGCCTTAAAATAGAAATTTTCGGGTTTTACATTCTTTATACTAATCTTATGGTTTTATTTGGTTGGGATTAAAGAGTTTCTCTAACTTGTTAAATTTGTTTTATACATTTTAAGTTTCTTGCTTAGCTAGGTCAATTGTGAGCCAAGCTTTTCCAAAAGCCCTACATACTTGAGCTTGGTTTAACATCTAATAATCACATCAACAATGATCAAGTGAAGTGACCAACTATGAATCTCATTCAACAACATCTAAGTTTAGACATATAATAACAACAACAACAATATCAAGCCTTTATCCCACTACGTGGGGTTGGCTACATAAATCCTTTTTCTCTATTGTGTCATTTTAAGAGTCAAATTCTCATTTAAATTTAATAAAAAAGGTTATTTCTAATGTTTTCTAGCCAAGTCTTTTAGGTCAACCTCTACCTTTCTTAATATAAGTCAAATCCAATACATCTACTCTCATAATCAGGTCATCAGAAGGACGACGTTTTGTCGGTCCAAATCATCTATGACGAATCTTTTTAATCTTATCTGCTAGTGGAGCTACTCCAACCTTTTCATGTACATACTTTTTTTGCATGCTGTCTCTAAAAGTAAAGCCACTCATCTACCTAAACATCCTCATCTCTGTAACACATAAATTTATGCTTCTCTTTTAATGGCCAACTTTTTGCGCCATAAAGCATTGCAAGTCTCATCACCATCTTATAGAATATTCTTTTAAGTTTGAGCTATACTTTTCTATCAAGACGGACATTGTTAGGTCCCAAGACTTGTATGAGAAAATTGAAGGGTTGTGTTAAGCAATCGACCGCCAGCGTAAAATTTATTGAATAATCATGACATGAATCCATACATATAAATATATAAAAAATTTCAATGAGATCGTATTCCTCATGGTTATGATTATTTGAAATTTTATAAGCTTGATTTAATAACGAACAAGGTAACAAGAATGAAGATTATGGTAGATTTTATTTAATTTTTAGTTTGCTATTTTTTTGAATTGTTGTAGAAGGAAAGAATCCAGTATAGGGGAAGAATCATGGACGTAAAGTATGGAAATTGAGATTAGATGAATGACTGACACCTCATAGAAAGAGCGGCATGTGGTAGAGAGAAAGAAGGGATAAGAGTGATGAGGACATTAGATTTCGACACGTGTACCATCACCGGAGACGCAGATCGACGGCTACGATCCAGAGCCTCTACTTCTGATTTATTTGCATTTTTTTATTTTATGCTTGTATTTCTTATTTCCTAGTTTTCCCTGTGGGCATTGAGCTGCTTATGTAGCCCGGAAGGGCATTTGTGTCATTTCATTTTTATTTCTTTTTGGTCTACTTATATGTGGTCTCATGCATTGTAATGGGTATTTTTGATGAATGAAAATTTACATTTCATGTTCTCTTTATGAGTGCAACCCTCCTCGATCTCTTAATGAGTTGGTTGGAGAAACTAGATCTCTTTGTGAGTTCTAAGTTTTCTTTCCCTTCTCATTTTTGTTCAAATCGTCATTGCGGAGATTCAGATTGAAGATACTTGTGGGGATTGGAGTCGTATTCTTTGAATTCCCTAGAAATTCTCCCTACGACCTTTCCCCCTTGCTCCCTGCCGCCGTCCCTCCTGGACAGTCCAGCCAGTCGGCCTGTAGCCAGCCGACCGCCGGCCAGCAGCCGCCGGCCAGCCTACCAGCCCGCCGGCTCCCCCTTGCCGCCGCCTCCTTCTCCTAGTCACCCTTGTGGATTTTGAATTTTTTCCCCTATTAATTGCTTTCCTAATTAAGCCCTAGCAAATTTGGAAAATTGATTAATAGGAGTTATACTTGATTTGAAATTCAAATTCCAATTCCCTCCTATTTTCATATGAGTTTGGGAGTTACTTAATATAATTAATTCTGAAATTAAAATCTGAATTTTGATTATATTAATTTACTTCTTTGTTGTCCCCACCTATTCAAATCCTCAAGCCACCTCATCACCATACATGGCCGGCCCTCCTCTCTCTCTCTCTTCCCCATTAATTCTCCTTTAATACACCATTAACCCTCACCCTTTATTTGGAATCCAAAGTTGATTTCAAATATTTTCCCTCCCAACTATCTAAAACTGAAATTAATTTCAGTTTTTAGAATAAAACCCAATCCCCTCTCTCTCTATACTGCCGGCCTCCCCTCTTTGGCTCCCCCACATTACTCCTCCATCAAGGCCTTAATTGTATTCAATTTGAAATCAAATTTCAAATTGTTTCCCTCTCAAATTAATCTAAATCTGAGAATAATTTTAGATTTAGAGTTAATTCCATCCACCCCAACCAAATCTAGCCTCCACCAAGAAACCTAGCCTCCCCTCCACCTCTCCAAGCCGGCCACCACCTCTCCTCTCTTGGGTTTTCTTGTCGTGCTCTCTCATCTCCATGCAAACCATGCATGGTGGAACCCGAATGGAACTTTGGGTTTGTGCATGACGATCGAGATCAAGTCGACATCCTCAAATCGCCATTCTTTGACGTGGGCTTTGATTTCGACGACACCGTTGAAGACTGCATCGACCGTATCCAATACGCCTTAGTTGACGTGATCGACGAGCAAAGACCAAAGGGACATTGGATCATCATTGGACGACCATCTTCCTCCACCACTCCGGCCATCTTTCCAAGGGCGACGATCTTCGGTTCCTTCTTTCTCGGAGTGACCTCGATTCTAATGTGGAGACTCTTCTGCCGCTAAAGCCTAGACTATTTGAGCGAATGGGCTCCAAAGGTGAAAGCTCTCATTATTAAATTGTGGATTGTTTGTTAATAGCTCTTAGTATTGCTACTATCTTTGCTTATCTTCTAGGTTTGGTTAATCTACATGTGCTTCTTCACCTAAGCAAATGGAAAACTAAGATTCTTTATGGAATTGCCTTGTTATTACAATAAGCTATTTAGTGGAATTACATTGCCAACTTGTTCTTAAATTCCTTAATGAGCTCCTGCGCATTTGGCTTCACATCAAAGAGTAACCCTAGAACTGAGATTGATTCCTCAAAGAAGCCAAATTAATACCCTTCCTTTTATTCAATTATTACCTTTTACTGAATTACAGGACTTTGGGCCCTGCTTATAAAAATAGTTAAATTACCCCTGAGCAAAAAACATATGATAAAATAAGACTAAATGACAGATTAGAACAAGCCACATAAAATAAATGACTACGCATTTCA